TTAATTATTTAAATGTTTATTTTGTTGAAAAAAATATACATTGATAGTGTACATTTTCTGTGCTTAACATCCATGTGGCCCAAAGTCTGGATAAAGGATCCCTTTCCATGAGTTTGGCTGGTATATCCCAAAGGCGTCCCCTGTCTTGTCAGTGGCATGCCTGCTCACCAACAACCCTACCCCCATTTACTAAAATAACAAGTTCAGTCGGTCAGATAAAAATTAAAGAGAAGCAGAAAATTTGGGAAAATGATTAATTTATAACATACCAAACAAAATCCGAACCATTTTATGGCTTTTTTCTTTTTCTTGTTGGCCATATCACTGACAAAGATGTGTATAATCATGCGATAACTTTAACCTACAGGACAGAGGACTGATTGGGCAAAAACCCAATCCAGTCCCCTATCCAAAATTATAAATTGGTTAGTTAATATCAGAGAAACAGAGCGTTTAGGAAAATGATTATACAAAACAAATACTATTTTACAACTTCCCTCTTAACATCAGAGCCCAAATGCAATTTCAGGGCCACCAACCCTGCTCTGAATTGTGATATTTTCTCCAGAGCTGCAGATTCTCTTGATATTCCTCCAGAGTTGCAACAGCTTGGTCACAGTGCCACCCTTACCCAGAGGTAGGATCGTTGCAGGCAACTTTTTGGCTAGCGTGGCAGCAGCCATCTCTGGACTGGTGAGGGAAGATTAGTGAAAAGCATCATTGACGATTGATGCAGTCTCGATAAACTCCAGATCCACGCGCCTTCTGGAATTCAGTTGCATCATCATATCTTCGGGTCGCCAGGTCAAGATTAGCCTTGTGTACACGAGGAAGATGTGAGAATGACTGTAATGTGTTCAAGGTAGTGTGCTTCAACACTTGCCAATTTCCGATAATCAAACGTCACATACTAAAATGTTTCTTTTTCAATGGTGTGCTGCCTTGACATCTTCTTGTGATTATAATAGTATAATAATATTATTATTAATGATCACAAAAAACAAAATATTATCAATGAAAATCTTGTAATTACCCAGCAAGATCTGCTCCGTGTTTTGATTTCCAATTAAAATGTTTATAATAACCAAAAAAGACAATACAAATAAAAAAATAGTACCTCTGGTTAGTTATTAACACTTCTTCTTTAGGATACCCAAACCAAACCAAACAACAACGCTCACGTTTTGTCACCTTGGACTCTGTCAAAAAATAAATTGTTTTTCCAAGAAAGAAGAAAAAAAAATCAATTCACGTCTGTCCTACCAAATAAACCAATAATAAATAATTAGTGTGTACGCGTCAATCGTATCACAAGCTTTAAAATTTATAAAAATGCCATGTAACAACAAGAACTCCAACAAGAAAAGAATCCGAGGAAAAGATGGTGAAGAAGTAAAAGGGTAAGTGTTTTAAGTATGGCGGTGGTGGTTATCGTCCGCCACTCGTCGTCACTAGTTATTTTTAAAAGAATGGTGGTGGTTACGATCAAATAACATTTTTTTTAAAAAAATACCCAGAAAAGATATAGAAAGACCGAAGAAAAGAAGAGAGGATGAAATTGTCGCAAAAAGGCAAGTGCTTATCATAAGAATAGTGGTGATTGCGGCTACTTTGACTTATTTTCATTTCAATTATTTGAGAATAATGGTAATTTATATTTTCAGTGACTGACAAGCTTAAAATTATGTTTATTTTTGGAACAAAAAGAATCCCACTTTCAACATTACCATCACAAATATCGTCATTCGATACAACACCAAGAAGTCTATTAATATCATCAATACTTAGGAGCTTGAGGCATAAAATCAATACCTCAAACAAGACCATGAGTGGATTATTAATAAATGATAATATTATTGACTTATTCCATCACCGAAAATACTTATCAGATGGCGAGTACTCTTTTCTGAAGAAGCTTTTCACGATAGATTACAATATTGAAAAAATACAATTTGATTTGTTGGAAGAAATCGAAAAAATATACAAGTGTGATGACGAAGTAATATTATTTATTATTAGTACTAGGTTTCCCAGAATAGCTTAATTAATATTTTCATCAATTGCATTAGAAAATAAGGCCTGGAGAAATATATAAAAACCTGGGTATTATTAGAATCAATCATAAATTTTCAATTGACACCTTTTCAGAACGTCAAAAGTTGTTCATAATTTCTATGGTTGAAGATTTGTAACTGTCTATTTATTGTTAACTTACTAATATACAAGTTAGGCATAATTATAGATTATAAATAAAATTCACTAATCCTGTCAAATTATTTATATGCAATTAGCTTATTAAAGTTTCAGTTGGGTTTTTTCAAGTCTGATTTCATGAATGAAGCAAAATACGTGGTAGAGTTTTTTGGCCGTTTAACAATGGTTTTATCATTAAACTTAACAAACACATCGTGGTAATTATATTTTATGAACATATGTATATTTTTGTCAAAATTATAATATTTTTAAAATGACATTTTTTTATGTAGGGATTTACAGTCACCTTCTATGAAAGAAAAAATGAGAACTGAAAACCGAGACACCAGAGAAACAAATCGTCCAGATTTTGCTTTGATAAATAATTCTGGTTATGAATTAATTATGCTAGAAGTTGCAGGTTCTCCTGATGTTGATGATCCAGATAAACATAATTATGACGAGCTGAAGTTATCACACAATTTATTAGAATCCTTTAATTTCATCTTTGGGAGAGAAAAATACCTGTACCAGATAATTTAGTTTTAATTGGTTTATTGTCTAAGAATAATGAATTGGTGTTTAAAGGAATGATGAGATTTGATGATTTTTTGATCCAAAATCAATTATTTGTGGCTGAGGTTCCAAATGATTTCTTATTTTCTTTTGAGAAAATGAGAAATCTATTAACAAAGATGCTGATTGTATCGGTAATTATACTCATAACATTGTTTTATTATTTTATTAAGTTCATAATATAACTATTTATCAATTTCAAAATGTGGTACAAAAAGACTCTGATATTTTAATTTCTCAAAAAAAGAATTCTAAAGAAAGAAGCCCCCAAAGGCATCCCAGAGTACAATCACATCTCTTAAAAAAAAAAGTAAAAATTGTCTCAGGATGACAGTATATTTAACACCAATAAAAAATTAAACATTTGTCATGTTATGGTCTCTTTTTGTGCTTAGGCGTGTTTCGTTTTTGGCATGATCAACTTTTTCACCTTGTTTGGCCAATTTTACGTCATGTGGCAAATATTTCGTTTCTTAATAAGTGCATTTGCTTTTCTTTTGCCTTGCTTTGCTATGTCTTGTCTCGCTATGAAATTTGCAACACTGCATGCACTTCTACTCCCAATTTTTTTATTCGAAAAAAAAATCTGTTCTGAGAAACTTGATTGGTTTTGTTGTTAAAGAAATTGACCAATCCATTTTGATAAATTGGAAGAAAAAAAACGGACTTTTGTTTATATTGTTCCTGGTGATTTAATTCCTTTCTTAGAAAAACCAACAAATCTTTTTTGAAAATGATGCTTTGCCACCACCGCAGAAATCTTTTATTGTTTAAAAGATCAATCATCATAAATTGTGTGAAAATGATTAGCTTTTTTTTTGGTGTAATCGATTTGACAAATATCTAACTATATAAACAGAATAAGGCAAGAAAGACAAGAATTGTAATTTTTTGTTGAATAACGCTTATTTGTTATCAAAAAAAAACCAATATCCTATTTATTATTATTATTATTATTATTATCATCATAGATTTTAGTTATTTATAGAAAATTCGTTTGTTTATTATCAATCGGACAACATTACAAATGACTAAATTCTGATCCCTGAAATTCTGGTATACCAATGTTCACTTTGTCTGGTTTTGTTGCAGTATGCCCCATATATTGAATATGAATATTAAAATTTTTATGATCTTTGTCTAAATCACTTCTACAATTGCCTCATTCCCAGTACAAACATCCAATACTATCATTTCGTTATTCAAAGATTTTTCATCAATTGTAGAAAGAATGCTTTGTTCATTTACTTCCCCAAATAAATAAGTCTTATTTTCTTCATCTTCATTTTCTTCACATGATTGTTTTCTTTTTCGTTTATTATCATCCTATTATATTTTAAGAAAAAGGTCTCAACATTAAATAATAAAATATCCAAATAGTTTTGAATCAATAATTAACCTCTTCCATATTACTGTTCTTGCCATAATTAGAATTTTCATCCTAGAAGAGAAAAAATCAATAAATATTAGCAAAATCAAAAGATGGGATTAAATGAAAACAAAAGTCATAAAATGACTTATGACCTTTTCCAATGCACTTTTCCTTGGCAACTCAGTATTAAATGTTCCATTATTTATTGTCCCAATTCCTATAGAACTACCTTTGAATTTTGGATTGAATAAATGTATTGAGGTACCAGTAATCCCTTGATTATTCGATTGTTCATCTCTCCACTTTCTTGCCAGATGTCTATCAGGTCGAGAACCCTAGAATAGAAAGCCATAGGTCAGATCAAAATATTAAACACCAAGTACCAGTTCAGCTCGAAGCCTTTGAACATAAGATAACCTCGAAGATTATCTATGCCCTAATACCTGCATAGGTGCTAGGTCAGCTCAAAGCCTTGAATGTAAGATAACCTCGAAGATTATCTACGCCCAACACCTACACTGCTGCTAGGTCAGCTCAAAGCCTTGAACATAAAGTAACCTCGAAGATTATCTACGCCCCAACAACAGCTTTGTCTAAAACTTTGAATCTGCCTGTTTTTATACTCGCCTGTTTGTATTTGTTAAGAAGTAGTTGCGCTCTTTCGTGTCTGCTGCCTGTTTCATTGCTAACAATTGTCTCAAGACATGTAATATATTGTTCTATTTTTTTATCAAATGTCTCCATATCAGATTTATTAAGGAAATCCAAAATATTCCAATCTGTGGATTTGTGAGTAAAATATTCATACATTCTGATATGAAAACAGAATTGATAAGTAGACTTTCTTATTTATTATATAATATGGGGCATACTGCAACAAAACCAGACAAAGTGAACATTGGTATTACCAAGGATTTCAGGGATCAAAATTATTTGAATATTTTTTTAATATTAAACTCAATAGCTGAAATTCTGATGTCAATTAATATAAAAGCCAAAATGTCAAATATTTGGCAAATGCAAATTTGGGAACTTTGGTTTTGGCTGAAATTAATTTGGGCTTTTATGAAATACTTTTGACCAGAAACCTTAACCTATAACCCTATATATAATTTTATGTTTGCTTTGTAATTTTTTATTTTAATTTCAAAGTAAGATATTTTAATGATCTCAAACATATTCTGATGATTCTGGTTTTGTGGAAATTAATGATTATAAACCTTCAACACATATATACATACTAACAGTTTTTTTAAGTCTAATAGCAATAATATTTTATTGAATTATAAAATACAAGTAACTTTGGATGTAATGATTGCTGTTTATAATAACACAAATCTTTTTGGTTCTTTTATGATATAAACATATTAGAATAAATTTTACTATAGTCCCAGGAGTGTTGCTATATCCATTTATTAAATTTTTTATAAATCTATAGTCAAATTCTAGAACTTTTCAATACAAATCTTGAAAAAGATTCAAAAAAACATTTTCTTTGACTTTTTTAATGATTGGTGTATCTGGTGTTGTGTAAATTGGTGAAGTGGGTGGTGACGGTGTTCTTGATTCTTTTTCTTTCATTATTTTTTTTAAAATATCTGAAATATAAAGCATTGTATGCTAGCATATACAATCAATCAATCAATTAATATTAATAATAAAGACTCATTGCAATGCCAAGATTTACATCATTAATAAAAACCAACCCTAAGAGCCAGTATATTTTCCATAAAATAGGGAAGAGAAGAATCTAAATCAGCTAATGATGTTGGGAGTTTGAATGATCTTAATTTATTAAAAAAATAGAATTTTAATTCATGATCATAAGTCATTGAATAGATATCCCACGTAAAGTCTATTAAAGTATTGAAATGAAAAGACATTAATTTTTTTTCAATGCCAAACAATGGCTACCTAACAATCATTTTATTACCTGATATTTGAATACCTAATATCATTAATTTGGCAAGAGATTCTTTAGAAATGTTCATTTTTTCAACAAATGTATCCATGCAATCCTTTAAAGCAATTTTTAGCTGATTATAGTCACTATTTGTATCTGTTAAATTTTTATCTATACCAATTTCTAATAATAGAATTTCAATATCATAACATCTTATTTCAATAATTAAATCAAGCTTTCTATCATCATTGGTTAATTTAGTATATTCTGGGTTTATATATCTTCTTTTTCTTGCTGTGACTGCTTTGCACCCTTTTTCAAGCCTAATAATTCAAAATGTAAATTCTCAATTCCTTGGAATATAGATAGTCCAGAATTATAAATAGAACAACATACCAGAACAAACGAAATTTTCCAAGGTCATAGCTTTCAAATATTTTTTTAAATATTGGAGCAAAAACATTAACAATCATATCCCTTTCTCTGTCAGAAGTCATTATGATATTAATATTCTTCTTAAAAGTTTTAATACTGCAATAAATAATAAATCAATAACTTTGTTACACATGAAAATTACAGTCATGTTTGATATTAAACTTACAAAAAATTAGTAATTTTACTGGCCAAAATAGCATCTGTATCATTTTTGATTTGATCAAAACTCACTTTCCATGTTACCAAATCTTCAATTAATTGCTAGATTAGACAACAAAAAAAAATGTCAGTAGTCAGATAAAAAGATTGCAAAGACTATGTATATAAATGATTAGGAGGATCTTTTATTATATTCAGGACTTCACTAGAAATATTTCCTTTTAAAAATTTTGGTATGGTTTTTTTAATTAAATCATAATGATCAGACATCTTGAGTATAAATTTCCAATCTACAGATTCGGTAAGATCAATTATCCTTGCTTTAATAGACTGCACTTCAATATTATTAACTTTTAGACAATTCATTGCATTATTCCAAATCTCTTCAATATTTATCTTGGAATTAATAAGTGTGATGTTCATTGCTCATAAGTATATCAATTAATTTTTAATCATTAAAATAGGCATGAATATTGATATGAGCTGATTTGATACTTACCCCATTAGTAACTATGTCATTACCAAGTTTTTTCTTATCATTAGAGAACTGTGATAATGGTGATCGATTTTCCTGTAAGTCAGAATCAGAAATTGGATTAATATCAAAACAGTCAGTCTTGCCATTTGAAGAGAATGCAGTTTACTTACTTTATTGCGTTTGTCATATTTGTCAGACGTTTCTCTAAAAGTAGATAAATCAAAATTTTAATTTAATCTAGAATGACAACAAGTAATAACCACCATTTTTTAAATAATAACTAGAATGATGACGAGTGGCGGGCGATAACCACCACCACCATCCTTAAAACACTTACCTTTTTTCTTCACTAAGAGCACTTGCTTTTCTTCTTTTACTTTTTTTGTTATCAAACGACATCTTTAAAAACAATAAAAAAATAAAAGTTTGTTATGATCGATGCATACACATTAATTATTTATAGGGTTTGTATTTATGAATACCGTTAGGGGGCCACACATGGTCACACACTATTAAAATCAAGCATTTTTAAGGGATTTTTTGCTGTTTTAATAGCGTGTAACCCCCTTAATGGTATTCATGGTATTCATGAATACAAACCCTAATTATTACCCCTTATTCACGCAAATCGCGTGTATCTGATATTTAATAACTGTGAATATTAATTTAACAATGAAGAATAAAAGCATATGAAAATACAGTCATGTCCAATGAAATAGATGAATACTTTAACCGCAAGTCTACAGAGTGGAATATTTTTGATTTTTTGGTAGAATCTAATGAAGAACCTTTTCAATGAAAGATAGATAGGTACCTTAAGACAGGGTTGGCAAATGTGTGGTCCATTGATGGTCTATTGGTGGTCCATTGGGTCCATTAGTGTAACACTTTAACCATATTTAGTATTTTATTAATGGCAATGGACCGGTCCAAAATCCATCTGTTTTCAATGGACCAGTCAATTTGCCAACTCTGCCTTAAGAGCCTTGAAACCATTGTTGATTGTGAAGAAGGCAAGAAGAAGGAAAAAGCGAAATATCTCCTTCAAAGATATAGAGAGGTGAGTGAAATGTTTTAAATCTTTATCAGAAGTGAGAAAATAGTGGCGTGCCAGGGACCTGTTCGGTTCTTGTCATTCAAGGCTGTTTGCCGAGCCAAAACCATGTTGGGCACAGGTGACCTGTTCGGTTGTCTGATGCTGAAAGGCTGTTTGCCTATACTTCATGAGTCCCACTGGGGCACTGATGACCTGCTCGGTTATCTGATGCTTAAAGGCTGTTCGCCGATCTGGTGGGGATAGGAAATCTGGATTACAGTTATGCAAGTTGAAAGTAAGAAAATCTAATTCACAAATTTTTTTTTAGGATAATCAAACAGATCGTCAAGAAGCAAAAAGATGGGAAAATGCACAAAGGTCGGTTAGATCAGGGTCCTTATTTCATTTTTACAATCCAAAATTTGAGGGCAATTCTCTGGTGGGAGAAGGAATCATTAATGATTTTCACCAATCTGAGAAAAGAAGTCGGGAAAAGGATCATGGAGTGGTACCAGTATGTATTTTTTTAGCTATTATTATGCATTTGCTCCTAATAAACTACAATCTTTCATCCTCCGTACAAAAAAAACAAATTTTAAATTATACATCTAAGCCATTATATACACCGACTAGATCTCCAATGTTTAAGGTGACAAATAACTTACTGACATGTTCATGCCTGAGTTGGTATTAACATTTCTTAATTGCATTTTAGTCACCTGAAGATATTGTAGCTATTCGCAAGTGGAATGAAGATTTTTATTCAAGCTTGCTGAAAACTATCATATCTGAAGATGAAAATGAAGATGAAAATGAAGACGATGAAGAAAAAAAAGAGCTGGAATTATCTGATGACGAAGAACCTGAAATTATTGTCGACGAAAATGTCCTAACCTTTGACGAAACAATCCAACTTGGTAACTCAGAATGGAGGTTGTCAAGCGGAGAACTCATCAAAAATGTCCTTTCACAAAAAACCTCAATGGTTCTGGAAAATTTCAAAAATGCAAAACTGAATGCTTTCACAGCAAGTGTTATTAGGTATGCCATTATGCATTTTAATTATTACATTCATAATAAGGCAGATCTATTGATATTTTTTTTTACTTTGAGTAGGCTTGGATTGTCTTCCATTGTGGATTTATCATCCGAGTTTCCAAATGGTATGCATACCTGGTTTGGAGAAGAGTGGTATAATCTGAAACGAAAAGTGTATGTAAAATAGCCTGTTGATTTATAGTTCTAATGTTTTTGTGACTAACACTTCTCTGTGACTTCTTCTGTACAGTTATGTTTAAATTATCGATATTGGGATGCATGAGAGTATTTGCTAGATCAAATGAAGGATCGTTCAGCCATGACAATTTATCTTCAAATCATGAAGATATACTTCACAATGTACGTAAGAACTTTTCATTTCTGGTTCAGTAACTATGCCTGTAAATATTAAAACTAATTCAACCTTTTATTCTAGTGTGGATATGCTACTCAATGATCCGCATATTTTTGTAGACGAGGATGGCAAGGAAAACAAGCTTACAGAGATGGAGTTTGTCCTTAAGACAGTGGCCCCTGTGATGGATATTATATTTTCAGATGTCAATAAAATCGTCAAGCTTCGATGGTAATCACCTGTTTTATAGAGCATGGTTTGTTATATTTTACTATTCGCACTTCGTAATTATAATATCAATGCATTGTAGGGGGGAAACTGTCTTGAAGGCTTGTACTAGATGCAGGAAAATAGATTTGAGGATCAAAACTCAAGAGAACTCAGCCATATTGAATGTGCACAAGCGCCAACACCTGCTAAAATTGTTCGAGATCGTAGCAAATGAATACAAACCCTAATTATTACCCCTTATTCACGCAAATCGCGTGTATCTGATATTTAATAACTGTGAATATTAATTTAACAATGAAGAATAAAAGCATATGAAAATACAGTCATGTCCAATGAAATAGATGAATACTTTAACCGCAAGTCTACAGAGTGGAATATTTTTGATTTTTTGGTAGAATCTAATGAAGAACCTTTTCAATGAAAGATAGATAGGTACCTTAAGACAGGGTTGGCAAATGTGTGGTCCATTGATGGTCTATTGGTGGTCCATTGGGTCCATTAGTGTAACACTTTAACCATATTTAGTATTTTATTAATAGCAATGGACCTGTCCAAAATCCATCTGTTCTCAATGGATCAGCCAATTTGCCAACCCTGCTATCATCATTATGAACGATTGCTATTACCAATGTTGTTGTCGATAATTTATTTCTTATCGCCTATTCTTTTTATGTATTAAAATATCAGTTGAAATGGATAGGATGAAGAAAATAACATGATTGTAAATATTTTGATGAAAATTAAATTAACTAATTTTCTTACTGAATATTTTTTTTTATGAGGGTTCTTTTCAGTAAACCATCATTTTAAAAAAGTTACTACTATATGATCCTGAAATATTAAAGAAAATGCTAACGGATTTGTAATGTCTGTGGTAAAAATTAACATATTACCCTTTGGATTATTTAGATTTCCTTCAGATAATAAAACAAATCATATATTAATATCTGATTGCCGATCGAATTACCCTAAAATGTAATATTTGGAATTTGATTTGTTCGTGTCGCGTTTCTGTACTATATATACTGATATAACAATCCTATTCATTGATTTTATTTTCATAGCTGCAATATTACTATTACTACCTACCACCACTAACATCACTACTATTACTACAATTAAAGGCAAGATTTTGGAAATGTATATTCTTATTACATTAGGTTTATCTTCTTTATTTAAATCCAGTATTGGGTGTAGAGACCTCTTTTTGAGTAGTCAGTCCTCTCCAAGGGTCTGTTTGCAACCCTTATGGAGTTACCCAGTCTCTTTGCTCAAATATTATAATAATTTGAGGTTTTTGGGTGTATTGCCTCTTGAATTTCCATTTTATATTTCTTATTCAAGAATTCAATTCTTGATTGATGTACACTAAACTTTTTTTTATATGTCCCCATTTCTTTTTCTTAAACTTGTCTGATCACTTGATTAAACCCTTTCCATTTCATATTTCAATATTATTATTAGATGCCCAGAGCTGAACTTTACACAAATAGGACGTTACTAGCCTTAATTGTAAAAATAAACGAATACATCATTATCTCGACTATCTTGAGGGTAACATCTTAATCTTAACACATATATATATACATATTAATATATATCTTATTATTATAAAATTTTAATTTTTTTAGGGTCTTTTCTATCCTACAATTTACAATCCTGTTCGTCATTATGAAATTCTTCAAAATTTATTTCATCTTAGACGAACAATAACTGATTGCGATGGAAATTTATATGAAATAACAGAGGAATGGGATAAAATTGAATTACAATACCTTCAATTTATCATAAATGAAAGTTCTGCTGATATTCGAATCCAATATTACCGTTATTTTATAATGAGGGGTTCTTTATATATAATGCACTATATATATAATATATATTTTGGAATTAAAAATATTTTTTTTTAAATATGTATCAGTCAGAGTTTTGAATTGCCAATATTAATCTAATCAATCCAATTAATCCAATTAATTTCAACCTCAACAATTTCAGAGCTCAAACTTGTTAAAAGCCACAGAAAACATTAATCAATTAAAAGATTGAATAAATGAGCGTTAAATAATAATAATATATCCGCTTAATAAGAACAAAATTCAATGTAGCAGTATTACTATTTCTTCAAATGAAGGTAAATAAAAACCTTTTGAAGCCTATGTTGCTCGATTCATTCAATGTAAAGTTATATTACTTGAGATTTCGTGAAGTTGTAATTGTGCAGTCCTCTCAAAGAAGGATAAATAAATGGTCACACATTGCTGCCGATCCTAAAGATGCTTTGGTTACTAGGATTTATAGAAGTTTTAATTATAAAAAAACTCGTTGTTGTGAATATGCTTTAAAAGTTGCCTGAAGGCCAAATAGTTTCAGGTCATTAAAAACATTTCAGGTCACATTGATTTTCGTAATGTTTATTTTATCCAAAGTAAAAAAGAAAAAGGTTTTAAAGATTGGGAACATTTGCGCTGAGATCTATCATACTGCTGGTAAAATGTTTAACAGTATAATGAACAATCATCGTCTTTCTACAAGGCTTGATGCTGAAATTGATGAAGTATTAAATCTACCCACGCTCCTGTGATGTCCTTTCACTGAATATGCCATAGCTTAGGCAATGAATAAAAATATAAGATAATGCTAATTTAAATTTCACAAAATTTTATAATACATTTTATTATTATTATTATTAATATTAATGTGGTACAAATTGAATTAAAAAAATTAAGTTAAATATAAAAGATTTGTAGTTGAATTTGTGGTTGAATTTGAAAGAGAATTTGAAGTAGATGTCGATGCGTTTATATTTGTGGGATTGCTATTATTGCTGTTGTTGTTGTTATTATTATTATTATTAATATCAATATTATTAATATCAATATTATTACTGCCACCACCAAAACCACCAACATCGCCGCCACCACCAACATCGCCACTGCCACCAACATCGTCATTATCATCACCTTCGCCATTTCCATTGCCATTAACATTAACATTGTTATTAGTTTCGGTTAATTCGGCAGATGTTAAACTTTTAATCTTGGGATATGTTACTTTCTCATCTAATTCATCTTGAGCCCAAACCAACATTTTTAATAAATTTGGTAATTTTGGATCTTTTTCTTGACTTTGTGAAGTTAAAATTGCGGCATTTAGTTCACTAGCTGTACGTAGACGTTGTGATGGGTGAAGTAAATCTCCTACAGGGGATGTGGTTGTGTCATCAAACGCTAACAATGCCATTGATCTCTCGAGTTCTTCAAGAAACTCAGGCTTTTATATTATATATATCAATTAGTTACGCGCGCACATATTTATACAATCTATCTTATATTAACAGACGTATTTGTTTGAATTGTAACCTACATTCTCTTCTCCTAGAGGTGCTAACTCATCTTGTGCGAATTCTAAAGCTTCAGATACTCTTCCTTGTCTAATATATTCTATTAATCTTTGTTGTTGAAGATGGAAATATAATTTTGGATTTGTATCTAATATCTGAAGACATTCAAAAGGAACGAAGGTAAGAAAAGGAATAAATAAAAATAAAAATAAAAGCGGTAGTGAATTAGTATAATAATTTTATT